GCCATTATTATTATTACAGTTATATCTCATATTATGTAATACATGATATATCAAGTTATTCTCCAACGGACCTATGAAACGGCATGGCAAAAAGCTACAATAACAATTTGCTATTTGCTAACGCGGAGATCTGAACCAGCGATGGCCGCATGTTCATTGCCATAAGGCCAACAAAAGGCTCTGTATAATTAGTGCTTATAATAAAAGCTCCTAATAATTCTGCAATTTTGTAAGGTATAGCAGCGATATCTTGATTTACGTTAGATACGTTCCCCTTTTTTTGCTTGCGCATTATAGCTAGCGCCCTGGGAGTTTTTCAGTAGATGTGCACTTCGATCTATACTACCATATTGAATTTAGTCACGAATGGCTCGTTTAGAAGGATGGTCGGCAGGACACGCTACATCGTTCACCTCTCACCTCACTACGCTTAGTTATCACCCTCCTGAAAACTTGAATCTGAAGTATATGCGGGCTGAAATCATCGCTCGACTCCGCTTCCTTCGACATGATCGGAGTGTGACAATGAGGTCATACGTTATCCTCGAGTGACCACAAGATATGCTGCCGACTGTTAGTCCATAAGACTCTGCAAAAATCAGAGATGTTTGGAAAGGTCGCTTTCGTTTCTAGCAAAGTCTCGAAACATCTCATGATTCTTATATCCATTGAAACTGTCAGCTTGTGCCCAGATCTAATCGATATTATCACCGAAGTCTGTTTCTAGTATATCCGCTGGGTTGGTTTATTTTTGCTGGGTAGTGCAGATTGACACATGTCTCATTAATGACGACGATACTCTCCGGGTATACTTTTTGCGGTAATGTCGTCTGACATCTGTCCCGGACTCAGTTCCAATTGTCTGTTTTTCTTTTTTTTCGTCCGTACCTTCGCTGCGATTTCTTAGGGTACGCATATTCTAATTTGCTTTGAAGCATCCGTGCTTACAGAAATTTGTTTTTTCGTTCGAAATGTGGTCATCTTTTCCGTGGTTTTCAGTTTTCCAATTTCCGTATATGAAATGATTGTAGTAATAATAAACCGATATTTCGCATCATTGCCCCTATTTGGGTCAGTCTTAAGTAGATTTAACTAGCGCTTACATCTTAGAAACAGACTTCACCACCGAGCGTCGATTATTAGCGTGAAGGGCTAAATTTAGATTAAATTTATCCTTTTACGCTAATAATTTAGCTTAGGGTGAAACTTTTTTTTTTTTTTTTTTGGTAACTCTGAAAATACTAAATTTAGTTTTATAACGGTGCATAGTTTTAATTATCTGAGAAGTTCGCAACAGACTAATAATTCAAAAATTTTTTAAATTAAAAAAAAAAAAAATTTTAATAATTTTTAATAGAGTAGAAGGAAAACATACTTGGCGATTAAACGTAAATTAAAGGATGCATAATGGGCCTTTTCACGACTTTTAGAAAAGCAAAAAGAATTTAGGTAGCGCAAAGCTGATGCGCATATTTAAAATAATTTTTTTTTAATTTTAAAGAGAATGATTTTATTTATTGTGAGTTTTGACTCAAAACGACATATGATGTAAATTATATCACCATGCATTTAGCTGTCGCTTACGTATCGCGACCACGGTTATGGATAATGATAACAAAAACATATTGGATATGGAAAGGCTGCTGATGTTACTAGCCTGTGAATCGAAAAGGGTCTGATGAATCAGCATGTTTGAACGGCCGTAAAACTATAATAAAGTTGAGTTGATGCACGAAGTGTAAATACACAGGTATTACTACAGATGTAAATCTTTTCTGGGGCTTGCAAAGAATGTATAATAATCCGAGGGTAACATCAAAACAGAAAATTTTTAAAACATTCTAGTTAATTTTTTAGCATTTTGCGTCCTAAAATTGCGTCTCTGACACATCGCGTGTCACTCAATTGACCCGATTCGTCCGAGTTATCCTCTTTAAAAATTGATTTCAGTTGAATATTTTCAGTCGGTTTAGAGAACATAGCTATTTAACACTTTGGTAAATATTTTTGGGTTTCTCAAAACGTATTGCCAAAAAAGCAACAAGGGTGAGCAGCTTATAGCAAAGTAGATTTCAACAAATCCCTTCCCTGCTTAACATAACGGAATATGTGGAGAAGAGTCAAACATTTTCCTTTTCTGAGGCCTGATTAATCTATTGAACTTAAGACGCTCTTACACATGAGTATTTATAGCTGAATTTTATTATTTCATAACTTTTTCGTTGCCTTTTTGAGTTTATCTCAATTTTAGAACCAGGATTAAAAGTCAGGTTTAGGAATCAAATTCACATGTCACCGTTAGCTATCGCTATTGCCTATTGGGGCAGACGATCTCTTAGCTTCCACCTTTCTCTTCAGGTTTATTTTCTAAATAATTATATTTTTTATACTCAGCATACGCAGTTCACTGTCTAAGTGGCTGCTTGTCGCGACGACTAAGTAGGCACTAGTCGCGCGATGGCCTATCAAAGCAAATGGTAAGTTCAAAATCCACATACCTGGGAGATCTGCGTTCTGGCAGTTCTCCGTGTTTCTGGGCGTGTGGGCTGTACGCCATTAGATGACATCAAGGTCAAATGTTTTGAAGACCGTTTTCAAAATCTAAAAATTGCTGCAAAACGCTATTCGATATCAGCACGTCTCAACCCTTAGGGTCTCCTATTTTCATAATAAAGAGTATAATTACGGTATAGTCTTCTGAGACTACGCTAGTTCAATATGCACTAAAAATAATGCGAGAAAAAGGACAGTATGCTCTTACAGAGTTGCACCGCACAATATAAGAATCAATCCAACGATCTTTCATTTAGAACACTCCTAAAGCCAGTGATTCTCAGTGGCACACCGCGCAACAGAAATGCAAGGGGTGTTACTGAATCATTTAGTGTTGAAGTAAAAGCAAACAAATATGGTTAATCAATATAGTTTATTCGAATGTTTTTGTTATTGGTATCATTATATTAGTTCATTTTGTATAATAGCTAAATTTGCATTCGAAAAAATAATTTTTAATATTACGAAACATGTTGCAGAGAGACAATGCAAAGATCAATTGGTATCTTGGAGTCTTCTGGGCAAAGGAGCGCGGTTTTTTGAGCAATTTGAGACTCGAATGGCAAGAAGTTGCTCTTGCTCCTGTGACTGTCACCTGGAGGCGCCTGATTCAAATCAATATAGCAGCGTTTTCCAGTGCACTTCTCACAATGAATACTATATTTAATAGCCAGCTTTGAAGGCCTAGATGAAAAGGTCCAGTGAAAAACACGAGGCATCATCTCTTGACGGTACCAAGTGCAAACGCAATCCACACAAGTATGTTCTTAACCCAAAAGTATTTCTAAAGGCCTACCAGTTGGCAGGAGTACGTTGTGTAGTTATGAATGTATCTTTACGTAAGAAGCATGCACAAGATGTTTGATTTCGACAGACAACCTATCGAATGGAACAAACACTCATTTCATAGATGTGCTAGCTCGTCGGAGAAGCACTCGTGTGCATTTGATTTATTCAGTTGAACAGTTATTCAGTGGATAATCCGAGCTGCAAGATATATAGCTCGTTGCCAGCCAACAACAATTCGAAGAGAGCTAATGTGTAAATGATGTGAGCTCTAAAGGTTTGTCGCCATTAAGATCAGTTAATAGAAAATTCTTCATGGATATTCTTAGATGTGTCCTCATTAATATAACTAAAGAAAGGCCACGCACTCCACTTGACGCTGAGGTAATTTTTGCCATTTTTCCATTATTGTGCTGTGAGTAGATAATTGATTTATTGATTCACAACTATACAATTGTGGGTTACTCCGTGTGCATTCCATATATTGGAGAATTAAGTATAAGGACCGATATCATACTTTTTTTTTATTGGAAAGCATACAAAAAAATAAGCAATCTAACGGTCGTTGTTAGGCACAACAAGGAGATAGCGCGAATTTATAAAAAACTCTTCCGACATCTCCTATTATGTTACTATGCATAGACTGCAAGTACGTGTCTGGTTGAAGATCTGGAAGAAAATCTCTAATCGCACACGTACTTTCTTGCAGTCATGTTTTTTCGCTTTTTTTTTTTCCTTAGGAATTGACGCCCACTGCTCGATTCATCGATAAGTAGGTGGCGTTTATTACGGACATCTAACAAAAAGTCGAATCACACGTTTCTGTAAACGGTTCGGCTTTACTTAAATATAATAGCGCTATTATCTATGAGAAAATTCCCTAACGGAACGGAAAAAAATAAGCTTACTCTTGATATAACTATTGCATCTTATCGCGGGGTTCTAACAGAACCTTCAAGTATATATAGATATAGATATATATGTATGTAGTTATAAATGAAATTGAGATGTGAACGAACGCCCTGCACGGATGCAGCTTGTCGAACAAAACGTAATGAATAAAGAAGTTTACGTGCATTATTACTTTTATTAGTTCATTATTTATTATATTATGACATTATATTTAGTATTCTACTTAAGGTAAAGAGAACGCTAGTTAGAGCTTGTAGCCAAGTGATCGTAGGGCTTTTCACTTTCTGCCTCCGTACGAGAGTGCAACTGCTTTACAGGCAGATATGACAGACTTGCCAGAAATGTCTTGTTGCACAAGCAACCATCTTGGTAATAAACTCGTTCTTGATCATTTTCTTTTACGCTTATGCTTCTGGTTCTATAGCTTCATTAATATAGGTAACGTTCGACAACTCCCTTGTCAATAATTGAATAACGATAGTAATAATTCTGTTTCAATCAACTATTTACAACAACGAAATCATTTTTTGAACCTAGCAAAAAGTATGCCTGAATGTTCTTTTAAGTGAAACTGTAATCCAATCGTGTGGATAATAGTAGTAAACGTCGCAAAATTAGCTTTCAGTATATATTAACTGTCGTTATAAAGTTTTAGAACAACTTCAACAATGAGCAGCTTTGTCAGCCAAGTCACTTTTAGAGTATTAATTGTGTGATTTCACATTTATTTTCGTACTATCCGTTTTCAGCGAAATTCCAGGTCCATGGCCATCGTTACCAGTTGTCGGCACCAATTGGCAATACTGGGGCCATAAGCAGGACTCCCAATTGCATAAGGCTTTTGAAGACAAATTACAAAAGTACGGGCCCATTTGTAAAGAGGAGTACCAATTTAGAAGGCCCGTCGTTCATCTGTTTGATGCGGAAGATTTTCCCGCTTTATTCAGGTAGGCTTATTTCAATTTGTGCGAATATTGTAATATA